TGCTGCCGGGTTAGGCCGGGTGCCCCGCCAGTGGCCGGTGTAATCTGTCAGGTTATGGATGATAACCTTTCAGGTTATGGCTGAAGACCCACCAGTGGCCGGTGTAATCTGTCAGGTTATGGATCATAACTTGTCAGGTTATGGCCGACGACCAGCCAGAAACCTGCTAGAGGCCGGTGTAATCTGTCAAGTTATGGATCATAACCCATCAAGTTATGGGTGAAGACCTACAGATGGCCGGTGTAATCTGTCAAGTTATGGATCATAACATGTCAGGTTATGGCCGGTCGGCCGAAGGCGCCAGCGATAGAAGATCGCTGACATATCTTATAATTTACCAATGGATCATTGAGGATAAATTTGGAATTTTACAAATGTTTAGTTTTAGTATTTTCATTATTTTAATTGGAAAAGAGTAAAAATTAATGAGCTAATTTTGGGGGGTTAGAAATAGATTGGAGTACCTATTTGAGGGGTTTATCTTTTATTTTCTCTAGTTTTATTTTTTTAAGGTAATGTACACCGTTGGTCCCTTAACTCTTTAATATGTGACACTTTGGTCCTTCTTCTTTTAATTTTGATAAAACTATCCCTGAACTCTTAATACGTTAAGAATTAAGTCCTTTCTGTCAAATTTCTTTAAATTTTTAACGGAAGGCATCACATGCAATGCATGTGCACCAATACAAGTGGGTAAATTTGTAAAATAACAATACCCAACTCATAATTCATTTAAAAAAAGAAAAAAAATCGTGTAGTGTTCTTTCTAATACTTTCTAGAAAAAAATATGCAGACTTCAAAAACCTAGAAAGAAAATGAAAGAAAGAGAAAACCATTGGCGGGAGAGGGGGTGTCTGGATCACACGACTACGAGGAAAGGGACTTCGATCTCGCAACGGAGGAGGAAGTGGGAACTTATATCTGGCGATGACCGAAAAGGGGCAACTCAATCTCGTGACGGTGGGGAATGGGCGGATCAATCTCGCGACGACGAGGGATGAGAGAGTTTACGCTGTGCATGGGAGGTGGTGGGAAGGGGTTCCAAAAGTGGCGCGGGGTTCGCACTATGCGATTCTCTCTACAAAGTCTATGACCACCCATTTCTTAATTGGATTTTTATCATTTGGTATGAATTTTGACTGGGTTTATTCGTGATTGAGGTTAATTACAAAATTTGAAAACATGCTTTGGCTAGAGATTTGGATGATGGTCTCTCTTTCTCTTATTCTTAATAATTCTTTCTTTGATGTTTCTCTTCGTGGGATAATTGTTCCATGACGCTTTGCCTAATGCATGTGATTTGTGTGAATTTTCTTTAAGTGTGTGTGGGAATCTATTTTTTTTTCATCGCTCAAATCAAATTTAGGCAATCCCTTTGGATGAAATGAACCATTACTGGTTGAGCGTCTGTCTTTCTTAAGTCCAAAGAGTTGTTCTATGATTTTGTTTGAATATATCAATTGGGTTTCTGCGATTTTGATTGCGTGGTGATTTTAGTTCTGCGGTGGGTTGGGGGTTTAACGGATGACGATGGCTAGTGCCAGAGAGTATATGGGTTTTACGTTCATGGTTTGTTTTTTTAATATGGGTTTCTTCTTCAGGATTGAGTTGTTTTTTGTAGTTTGAGAGCATTTTGGTATTTTTATTAAAAAAGAGAGCCCTTACTGGGTCACTTGCATGATTCTATTAAAAACTTAACAAAATGAGACGGAAAGGATTTAATTGCCAAAGTGTTGAGAGTTCAGAAATAGGTTTGCTAAAATTAAAAGAAGATGGATTAAAATGTTACCTACTAAACAGTTAAAAGGACAACCGGTGCAAATTACCTTTTTTTTTTATTCTTTTTCAAACTTATGAAATGGCCCAATTAGTAAGCCCAAAATTGGACTAGCACCAATATTCCACCAATCAGCTGCACTTTACTTGTCATGCGACGTTGCCGTATGGAAATTACCGGACCCAAATGAGGCCGTTTATCTTTCCCTCCAATAAAATAGTTCAAGCAAATAAAAAACAGAAACCAGTGTTAAAAGAACAAGAAGATGTTCCCATCCCTTTTCTCATCGATCATCCACCATTTTCTTTCACTTTCTTTTCTGCCAAACGCATTGGCATTCCTCCTAACTCTTTCTAGTAAATTATGGATAGAAAAACAAAGTACATGAATCCACTGGATTATGATCCTCATAATCCAATTCCTCTCTCGGAAAAGCAAGGTCTGGAGCAGTTATTAGCCGTTGAATGCTCGTCTTTACCCCCGGAATGCTACGCCGGAAGTTTTCTCTACGTCGAACGAGAGTTGGCCGTTACTATAATCTTCAAAGTATGGTAATCCAATAACTCTTCAAGCTTTTTTTTTTTTTTTTTTTTTTTTAAACTTATTTTTTTTT